AATTTTTTTTTTTTTTTTATATTAATAAGATATGCCTTTTTTTAAAAAAAAATAATAAATTTTTGGACGAGCCCACGAGTCACTCGTGAAAAAACGAGCCTAGTTGGGCTCGGCTCGGCTCGCCTAGCGAGCCCGTCGCTCGGCTCGGGCTCGGGCTCATCTTTTGACGAGCCCGAGCGGCTCGTAGCTTGGTGGCACCGAGCCGAGCCCACGAGCCAGCTCGGCTCGATTGCCACCACTACCTACATTTGACTAGAGTTGAGTGTAAACAAACGGTTCATATAAAATACAAAATGGCTCTCTCCATCTTCTTGTATCAGTGAGACAATGACTCTATATTAATATGCTCGAGAATTGAGTGACTCTTAATTTCACTTTTACTCGTACAATTTGAGGGACTTAAAAGACACTTCGGAAACGTGTTTCTAATTATAAGAGAGGATAGGATTGGGTACTTATATAATATATATGTTTGTGGTCCCTCACACTGGCTTTTTTCCCATATGTTACCATCGAATGTAATATGTAATTGTTTTGCATATGCACTACTTTTGTAACAAAATAGCCAAGACCAAGAGATACTTACGTACCAAACCTGACCGCGCGTGCAGTCCGGTAGATTTTTCATCAGGAGCAGAAAATGACTTTTTACACGTTATTATTCATTTTTTTTATCGATAAATATAAATTATATTGATAAAAAATTATGTATAATTATATCGGACATACCACAGTAATTAAATAATTACCGTGGGCGGTGGGGGCAGAAAATGACGTGAAATTGGTGGTGGCCGGGCAGTCCAGGCAGATAATATTGTCGCGGTCAAACTACTGTATATCCCCTCGATCATCGGGCTGCTGGCTATCTCTTTTTATTCTTCATTCTGTTGTTGCTTGCCCCCATCACTTCTGTTTCTCTCTCACACATATACGATGATTAAGACTTGAGCAATCCCCACCAACACCCAAATAAATGAGGGGAAAATGAAACCTACGTTATACATCTTACTTATCCATGTTTTCATTGAAAGTCTCGTCTAAGAACCTGTATGGAGAGAACTTTCTTGTCACATAATTTAATTCTTTCATAACAGTAAGTGTCAATTTTTATTGACGTTTATTTGAATCATGTCATGTTATGATCGAGAGCTTGACGTACGCACTACTTTAATACTTAAACTCAACTTTCTCTTATTTGATGATAACATATTGCGCCTGTCTGGCACCAATTTGTGAAAGATTTTCAGTAGAATTGTTACGATTGTGAAATTGCAAATGGGTCCCAATCTGAGAAAGGAATTCAAAAAAAAAAAAAAAGTCTGGGAGCAGATGCAATGTTTATAAAAATGATTAAAATTTGGTATAAAATTCTTGGCCCCCTGTTTTTTGGTCGGTCACAGACCCTATTATTTATTAGGGGGCTCATATTCTTTGCATATATACGAGGAAAAGGCCCGTTGATGGAGCGAAGGGGATGGGGTAGTTAGTGGGACAAATTTTTATTTTTTTATGTTTTTTTAGAAATTGATTAGAGTGTCAAATTTTTACTAATGTGTCAAAATTTGGTCGAGTGGATGATCAAGGGAACAAGGAGATGTGAATAGCATATTCGAATCAGGGGTGGAGGGGAGGGGGGTCCCGGGGGGTGGGGCAGGACCCCCCCAATTTTTTGAAATTTTTTTTATTTTTTTTTAATTTTTTGGCCT